CTGCTTTCATTTAGTTATTTTATGGAACACTAACTATAAACTTGAACAATCACATACTTCAACTACAGCATACACTTAATGCAAGAAATAACTGAATAATGTACGGACAAACATACTTTGATAGTACCACATATACTGAATGACTTAGCACTTACAAACTGTTCTTAACAAAGTCAAGCTATGAAAGAGTAACCTATTTGAATGAGTCATTATCATCATGTCCTGGAATTAATTTATTTAGACAGATACCATAAATTACGGGTAAAATAAGGGTCATAATGGTGCAGTGTTTGCTAAGTGTTTTGAATCATTTTACACAAAACCGACAAGACGCATATTTACGGCTGACAGTAGTGCACAGTGTAAACATTTTCACAGACCCAAGTAGATTAAGATATACACTCTCTTTCCCACATACATTATTTTGGTCTAGTGATCATTTTGGGAAACAGGGGAGTAATAGTCTATGGGTCATTATTATAAATAATTAATAGGCAAAAATTTTAATGTGTCGTGAAGCCAATAACATGGCACATTCCATGTTTATTTTTTCAAGTTGGTTATTTAACAATGCTATCAATATCAAAAGGGGAGCCAGGATAGTGTAGTTGGTATAGTAACTGGCTATGGGCTGGACGACTGAGGGGTTGTAGTTCAAGTCCCAGTAGGGTCAAGAATTTGCTCTTCTCAATGTCTACCAGACCGGCTCTGAGGTCCACCCAACCTCCTATCCAATGAGTACCGAGGGTAAAGTAGCCGGGGCATGAAGCTGACCACTCATCTCCAGCCAGTGCCAAGGTCAAGAGAATGCGGATCTATACATCCACTCCCCCATACACCTTCATGGAGTAGTGCTTAATTAGTTAAGCACAGGGACAACTCTATTTTTACTTTATCAGTATTGAGATCAAATAGCATCAGATGGTAACGTGATTAATGAATGCGGAGCAATTCAATGAATGAGAAGTGGCAGGGGAAACTGAAGTGCTCGGAGAAAACCTGTCCTAGCACCACTCTTTCCACTATGAATCCCACATAAAATGATCTGAGATCAAACTCAGACTGCTGCGTTGGGAACAAGGTGACTGAATACCTGAATTATGGAATGCCTGTATATCCAATGTTGTAACACCAAACAAACATTCTAGCGAAGCACAGCTAGGCATTGCAACAACCATACAAAGCAAATGTTAAAAGTTAGAAATATCTTCTCCTGAATGGATTCATATAATTTCAGTACAATACAAACAAAAATTACATTCACTCTTTTATGAATGTGTTTGTTCAAATTTCTGCACTTTAGATAATAATGTAACCAGGATAAAATACGTGCACAGAACTGGACCAATATAACTAGAAAGAAATATGTATGAAGGCATTTCATTTACCACCATCTGATGTAGATTCACATCTAAATATAAACTGCAGAAATTCATACATACAAACCCTACCTATGTGATATACTACATATTTCAGCAAACTTCTTTAATCCTTTGTATCGCCACATCATAACGCCCTATTCAAGATAACTACTTAAAATTAATTGAAACCTTTTTGATATAAATCACAAATCTACCACAAAAATCTACATACATAAGCCAAATGTGCTGTGCAGTAAACAAACAACTAAGACGCTCATTTGGTGTTATATTTCAGCATCCTGTTGCACTGTGGAACCATTTTTAGATCGTAAGTATACAGTCTATAATGCAACAATAACCTTATATACCTTATATACAGACACTAAAAATATAATTAATGCACTAAAAGTGCTTGTTAAATACTTCAACTTGTTGCAATGAAGAACTGAATGTATAAGTTTAAGGACATTTTAAAGTATTTAACAAGCAATTTTAGCATATTAAATACATTTTTAGTATCTTTTATATAAGGTTATTTTTGCATTAAAGGCGGTATACATATGATCTAAGAATTTCATTTGGTGAGCTTTAATGGGCATAAAGGTAAATATCATTCCTGAACCAATGGATTTCCTGCAGCCATCAAAGTAATGTGTTAAACTTAACGAATGAATCCCTTCAACATCTGCAAACACTGTTCCTTTGTACTACAGCCCAAATGAGAAGTTCACCCCTTTCCTTTTAACCTCATCATTTCCAAGTTCTTTCAATAGGCTGTAATACAAGAGGTCCAAGCACGTTAGTATGACAAGTAAGCAGTCTGCTAATTCAAGAATACTAGGCAGTATCTGTTACAGGATTAAAAATATTTAACTAAATAATACTGCAATTCATTTTCTTGCAGTCTGGCAAATGCTACAATAATCCTTCCAAAGTGGGATAAGCGTGGAATATTATTATCAAATTTACTATAGCATAAATGAAGAACACTAACACAATATGTAAACGTACAAGGAGAGAGAAAGATAGCATCTTCAAGTACAGTGTTCCACAGAAGTACAGAACAATTATGAACAAGTGTCCTTCTAGTCGAATGTGGATGGGCATAAAGAGATGGGAAATTGGCAAGGTTTTATTAGCATAATGAAAAGCAAGTAAGTATACAGTTTCACAATATCAGAGGAAAACTTAAAAGTGTGTAGCATCCATGAATCATTTGGCCTTACAGAACAAGCTGCAAAGAACATTATGCTTGACAGCAACTAAAAATAAGTTGAATCAAGAACAGAAGTACATGGGAGATCAAGGATGAGTAAGTGGAACCAAATCTAATAGTGTCAGTGTGGGCCAAACAGACCTAGGCCTTGCACTAGATGATAATGCTGATGATAATGATGGTGATGTATAAAATTAATGTGAAAAAAATTGAAGACATTTTTTCTTTCATAATTACTCCTTAATATTCCCTATAAATGCAAATTATGAAATGTTAAATATTAACTAATTAATTATTTGTTACAGAGTTTCCTAGAATCAACCAATAGTCGTTGCCGTTGAAAACTGTCAAGATTACTCTAACGATAGATTTGTGTACTACACTGGTATACACAAATCTCCATATTCACAACAGCAAATATAAATATCACAGTACTTCTTGGGCATATCACCAAGTAGCTTTTAAATAACAAATCTGCAAAATTTGCTGCTTCCATCTTCAGAGTACAAGAGCCAAAAAACATGATCTCCAGTAAACATGAAATCTGTCAGTCTTATATAAAATGACTTTAACCACTGCAACACATACAAACAGGTTTCATGATCAGCTGATTTTGAAAACGTGAAAAACATCCTGTTTCAGCATCATAATAGACAATTTCTTGCTCTATACCCATCCAAGTGGCAGGTCAGAGATGAGACTCCAAACTTAAAGACCAAGGATGTGATACTGTACTGCTTATGCAGAACTATGACACACCTCAGGTGGTCATGACAGATGAGTATGGAGCAAGAAAGACTGACGATTTGCATGAGCAAACCAAAGAAGGTTGAAGAAACCACAAATCACAAATCTCATGTGAATTCATCCAGAACTGAACCTGAGCTTGCATGGTGATAAAGACTGCCTAACTGCCCAAGTTCCTAAGCTATGGCACTATGTTACAATATTTGAAAGAAAAATAACCAATACCTATATCAGAAACTCCACTCCTGCACTCAGTTTGGCATGGTCATAAATATTTCAACAGAAACAAGCCATTTAATTGAGGAACAAACTGCAGGATATAGACTCAAAACAACATTATAATGACAAATGCTTGGAATGATAAGGCACGCCAGTTATTTCCACTTCTTTCAAGAAAACATATGTACACCTCACACACAGCTACTTCTGCAGTTTTCATGAAAATATCCCAACACCTTCAACTGGAAGAGATAATAAACTGTGCAATATGTAAGGGACATTCCCAAAAGGAAGACAATAAATTTTTGTTTCCATATTCTGTCTATTTTGCAGGTATATAATGTTCTTCATGCTACTATACATTATTTACATTCAATTATCAAATTTCATCACAATAAAATATTTCAAAATACATTACACTACCATTTCATAAAGTTTTCATTTCTGTTTGCTGTGATACTGCACTATAATAAAAATGCAGACATACACGTATTTACAGATGGTATACATCAAATTACATTAGTATCAGTTAGTTTCACAGTCTCATGTGCAACACTAATGTTCTATAAAACTTACTAAAAGCTATTCACTTTAAAGTTTTACACTAGATGTTTTGACCAATGTAGTCATCATCAGGTGTTAGAAATTATGGATGAGGAAACTGCTGTTTTCTTTATCATTGCTTAGGTTATTAATATACAGTCCCCTTATTGTGCATGTGTGTTCAAGGTGGTGGGTTGTGTTCCTTCCTGTTATGCTCTGCTTTTTGTGTCTTGTTTTTAAATGTTATATTAACAACCTAAGCAACAATAAAGAAGACAGCTGTTTCTTCATCCATAATTTTTAACACCTGACGATGACCACACTGGTTGAAACATGTAGTGTAAAACTTTAAAGTGAATAGCTTTTAATAACTCTTACAGAATATTGGTGTTGCACATGAGACTGTGGAACTATGGAACTAACTGATACTACTACTACTATTAAATCATATTAGTTTTTAGGACTGAGGTGCATCCAAAGTTGACAGATATTTCAGTTGCTACCTTTAGGCAAAGGTCTCAAATGGGTGAGAGAGAGACAGACAAATATGCAGATAGTGGCTAGTCATATCATTAAAAATAATCACTGGTTTCAGGATCCATGTTTTCCATGAAATGAATAAGATCACTGGCCTAAATTTCTAGGTTATAAAAATCTCTGAGAATACACAGGCATTTGCCTGAATATCCAGTGTACAGTCAAATCCCACATTTCATTTTCAGAACTTGAACTCATTTTGGGAGTCACTGGATAAAATTCTTAATCGAAACCTTAAATATTAAAATATCCATAATTTAAATATTTCCAATTCTAATATTCCATATGCAACATAAATATCAGTGTCATCCTTGAATTATGCACAGTTCAAAATCTTCCACAGCTTTAAAGTTGATAAAATAGACAAGTCTACTCACTGCTTTCCTCTTGTCGTCAGCAGACACAGCACTGTGGGACCGATGCCGAAACATATCCATCACCTTAGACACTGCGCCCCTGCCACTGCTACTCTCAGAGCCTGCACGGGGTCGTCCCTGTGTATGGCAACTTGAAGATTCAACATGGTTGTGGTGAGACGAGGAATCAGAAGACGATTTGTTGGATGGAGATGATGACATATTAAGGGAATGCTGCAAAGATAACATATCAGTGCTTGAGGATGCTAATATCTTTAGTCACTTTAGTGCTGTAAGCAAAAATATGAAACACAATAAAATCTGCCTTGGGTGCCACTTGGCCAAACAACGGTTGTGTCAAGTATGAATCCCATGAGAAGAATCAACAGAAATATATTCTAAGATAAAACAATAATTTGAAATATGAATTAAAAATCGTATGTCTTTCTCAGTGTGACAGTTCAACCATATGCAAATGCTAATGAAGCTCCTGGTAACTTAACAGCCCTATCTTCTGGGACACAATGCAGTGTAGCCTGTTGAAAGACAACCAACATTTCAGAGGGACATGTCACCTCCATCACTTGCTTTACTCCTCAGTCCTGAAGATGTAGGCATCATGTTCCTATGAATGCAACAATCATGGAGAGAAATGTTTGCCACAGAGACATGCAAGTTTAAATACGATGTTTACACAAAGTTCCCAAAATATACACACAGCTTCAGTGATTGGATGTGTAGCAAAAAATATTTAGGTACTGTGTTCATTACAGACACAAAATAAAGTGAGAATCCAAAGTTTGGAATGAAACTCGATTACGTCTTAAATCTGGTTACTTCAGAGAGTCTGCACTATTCACAGAAACAAATTACGGATGCAGATAAGAATCACTGCTCTGGAGTGATCCAGGACTTAATACAAAACAACAATTTAAACACTGATGACAAAAGGCAAAAACGAAATTGGTGATTATGTAATGTGTAATAAGTCATATGAATGTATGTACGTAATATTATAATCATTTTTCAGTACGTTGAATAAATGTATACATTAGCCATTTCTCATGTCTACAACATTCTGTAGGAATTGGTTTAGTGCCTGCATATTTTCACTTAAAGAATTAAATACTGAACAGTATTAAAACAAAATACTATGGCATAGTGGTTAACATTTCTGCTTCATATTCCAAAAATACTGAGATTCCCTGTCACATTAGTCTGACAGTGTCAGGATCCAATGTACACAAATAACATGGGGGAGTGTTAACATCAGCTATCATTTCCTTGACTTAACTAACTAATTATATTAAGATAACTGGGTAAGTCGTGATATCCTTATTATACGAGTCTCCACTCCAAAATGAATTGCTCTTTGGACCCTTCTTTTCTTAGCAATTTGTTTCAAACCACTTCAATACATGTTATCTCCTCAGAGTAATAGACCATGTTCATAACTGTGCATAACAGCAGTCAGAAGGTTATTTCATGTCTCTTAATCAATGAGAACCTCAAATCGTGGATCTACAAAAGTACATAGCAACATGTTCTAGAAACCTACATAACACAAAAACAAATTGGTCTCTAAAATGCACATAAATATCACTGGAGCCCACCTGTACTAAGCATCTCTACCCTGTTCACCTAACAACTTTTTTGTTTATTCAGATATTTTATGACAGTGAATCAACTGTTCGGTTTCAACAGTGCTTAATCTGTTGTAGCAAGATGATTAAGGAAGGATAAATTTGGAGGCAGGTTGGAGAAAGTGGTTTTAGTCAGTGTTTAACATATGGTAATCTGCTGGCTCTTAACTTTCAGTGTTTGAACACCAGACAATATTGTGGCAATTTACTAAATAATTACAAGCACTTTCTGAATTAATTCTTTTGTGAATTTCATCATGAACCTCACATTTTTCGCATACTTATTCAAATTCTGAAACACACTTACACTCATATTATTTATTACCTAATATCATTACTGATATATATAATTCATTAAATTATTCATGAAACTGATGACTTTAAATAAATTACTGACAGAGAAACCTTAAAAATGGTCTATAGTTCTTAACTGTTTCAAAGCTACCAACAGTCAATGCACATAACAGCCTGTTAGTGTACAATGCACAGGACCAGTAGAAGTACATGACAGCTAAATGACTCAATTAATTTCAGAACTGTTATTCTGTAGATTATACATGGGACATGTGTCAAATCATTCACTGCCTAAAAGACAAAAACAATAATGCTGGCATATGAAAGAGATTAAGATGTATCCTTGAAGAGTATTGCCCCCTAGGATGTTATGGCATGTAGTCTGGTAGAACTTTAGTAATGTTCCAGAAGAACCTACTGCCTCCATTCTTAGGGCCGAAACGTCCTATAAAATACCAATAAATTTCTACAAAGCTACATAGTGTTTGGCATCCCAGATAACAGTGCATTTCATAGCCACAGCTGTCAGAACCTCATATCTCAAAAGACATACCCTTGCACTCCACACAAACACAAAATGCTGCACTTGCATTGGCCATCACCTGGTCATACACCACACAGTCTCAAACTACAGCTGTAAACACTGTTCAAGGTGGCCTACTTGTGTGCCAGTACCACCTACCACCAGAGTGATAATTAATTCCACCACAGGCTGACAATATGAAAAGGGCATATGTCACCGCCCAAATTATGGTAACCTCTTTGGTTTTATGTTTATCATGAGGCTTATTAAGATGATTAATCATAAATTTTGAACATTTGAAATAAGATCACTATGACAATCTCTAGTTAATACAGACTGTATGACAGCAGCTTCAGCAAAGAAGTTTTGAAGGCTGCCTAGCAGCAGCATCTTGCCTAACCTCACAGATGTATGGAGGAGTTAAAAAGTAAAAGGAGGTGCAATGAATGAAATGAAAGGTCACTAGAAAGACTAAATATAAAACAGATTGTACAGTAGGTTCAATAAGGGGGACACGGTAGCATAGTTGGTTGAGGCACTATGCTACAAGCCGGAAGGTTGTGGGATCGAATCCCAATGAGGTGGATTTTTTCAATTGACCTAATCCTTCCAGCTGCACTATGGCCCTGGGGTTGACTCAGCCTCTAACAGAAATGAGTACCAGGAATATTCTTGGGGGTAAAGGGCGGCCAGCGTGTAAGGATGACAACCTTACCACCATCTACGAGCCAACTGTCTAGAAAATGTGGAACCTCGACACCTCACAACCCTATGGGCCTCCAAGGCCTGTTACAGGGATAGCTTTACTTTTACAGTAGGTTCAATATTGGCCTGAAGGGCAGGTGGCCTTCACTCAATAATGAAAAGGGGACAGGATTACTTTTACATGACTTAAATTTAAAATTTTGAGGGACATTTCACAATAGGGAGTAAAAGAGTGTTAATGTTCTTCCTGCAACCAACAGGTTTGTCAGGTAAGATTAAAAAAGAGGTAAAATTATCCCTGTGTTTAATTAAGCACTGCACCATAAAGATTTATATGTAAGAGGAGATAGAGTTCCATGCATTCTTAACTTTGGCAATAGATGAACATGAATAACTAGTTTCATGACCTGATCATTGGGAAAAGAGTAATTGTAATCACTGAACAGGAGGCTGGGTGGGCTGTGGAGCTGGACTGGACACTGTGGAGAAAAGAGAAATGTCTTGCCCCTGCTGGGAATCAAACCCCAATTCCTTTGTTGTCCAGTCCACAGCTTAGTTGCTATACTGATAGAGCTATCCTAACTGGCCTACCAATTTATCATGTGTGCAAGAAAGAGTCATTTATTTATCATAGTTGACACAGATAAAGACAGGCTTGCAAAAAATGAGCAGTCTGTTCACAGGTGGATATCCTTGGTGACAATGATAGTAGTCAGCTATAACTTTTCTGTAACACAAGCGAAAACATTACTTATCTGTGTATGTTGAATATGAACACACAAAAATCTATTAGTTAGTTGCAATCTAGTGAGTGGGAGAAGGCATGCGCCTGAGCAAAAACATAAAAGCATTCAATCATCCTTAAAAAGGCAAGTTTTGTATGTAAGAAATTTCAAAATAACATATGCAGCATGTTAAATGAATCAAGAAAACTTATCAATTCCAGTTAGGCAGTTATTCTCCTTGCAAGCTGCCTAACTGCACAAAAACATAAACACAATTCACAGTTCCACTTCAACATTTGAGAGCCAGTATCTATGAAATAACGCATCACATTTTACCCCCACTTTCTCTCATGGTGCTTGCAATATCATGTTAAATGATAAGGTGAAGAGTAAACAACAGACTGGAGCTATTGGGGAAGTGCCCACTGTCTACTGTCTTTATTACTGTTAGGTGCATATAGATGGACAAACAAGTCCAAGTTTAATGACACACTTCTGTGTTAACACACCTGAATATAGTTTAGCACGTGGAAGAATATACAAGACTTTAACCAGATGATGGCTACAGTCACACACTAATCAACAGACGTTTAGAACAAATAACATTACTTCACTAAAATGTGTACAATAATTTTTGAGTAATACACAACAAAACCTTTATTCTGATAGGGATATACTTCTACAAATATCACTGGTGGAGTATACACAATAGTCGGTTCAGATGGGCGTAGTTCCTCTCAATGTCTGAGGGATGCCATTAATCACCAAAAGTTCTTGAGGGGGGGAGCACAATATTGAGCAGTTGGTGGAATGAGAACTAACTGAGGAAACCGCAGTACTCGTTGGAAACGTGACACAGTACCACTTTGTTCACCAAAAATCATGCATGACTTCACCTGGGATCAAACCTAACCTGCCCCAGTGGAAAGCTGGTATCTAACCACCTCAGCTATGGCACAGTCTAACATAGTATTATAGCAAAGCTGATACTTTTAATTGTTATTCTCCTGTAATGGCATATTTTGGTGATAGTTTAATGTAAAGAGGTGGGATGAAAGAAAGGCAAGGAGAATGCCAACAAATACAAGTGATGGGAAAGAAATATGAGAGAAAGGAGGGAAGGAGATAAAGGTATGAAGAGACATCCCACTGATTTTTCAATGGGTATTAAGCATGTAAGATTGGGTATCATTATTACATGTATATACCGAATAAAAACAGAAAGAGAAATGTGGTTACAAAAATCTGATCTGAGCATATGATAATTTAATTATAAGCTCAAAGACAACTCATTAGTTAATTTATAGCATATCATTAGGAAGAATTGGTGCTTGTGCCAAATCTTTTTTTTGGGGGGGGGGCAAACTAGTTGATGGAAATGGGACTCTGATATTGCATGTGGGCTTACCCTTCTTTGTTCTGAATCAGAAGCTTCTATTTAATTAATATTAAACGTTAAAAAATGGTTAAATATAAGTAAATATGTTATGAACTGAACAGTGACATATTGCAGAAGAATGCCAGAAATTATATAGTATTCAGAAGTGTGAACCTGTTACAGTAAATACACATTAGCATTGTCAAAGTATATAACAATCTGACTTGTATTTTCTGTCAAGCATTGTGGTGTAAATGTTGCTAGTCATTTCAATATTTCTGCAGGGTATTCACTCAAATCTCAACACAGACACCTTCATAGATTTCACTGCAGATGCCAGCTGTAAGAGCTTCCTGTATCAGATTTCATAATTCTTTTACCATAAACATGCAGTCAGCATAACAACTGACTACGGGGAATGGCCAAGAGCTCAAAGTTCGAGTCCCAGTAGGGGCAAGAGACTTTTCTGTTTTCTATAGTGTCCAGACAGGCTCTGGAGCCCACCCACCTTCCTATATAATGGGTACCAATGGTTGTTTCCCTGGGGCTAAAGCGGACAGGGCGTGAAGCTAACCACTCACCTCCAATTAGTGCCAATGTCAAGAATATATGGATCTATGCATTCACTCCCCTATACATCTTCATGGAGCAGTGCTTGATTAGTTAAGTAAATGGACAACTTCACCTTTAAGTGAAAATCGACCCAAAATAAGTACAAATCTCTCTTTTTTCTGGATATATTAAGGGTCCTAATCTTTTGTGCGTAGAACATTTTCAGCAGGGATTACCTAGGGATATTAGCACGAAGCTCACAAAAGTGTTCAGCTAACAGAAGTACTGCACGTGTCAGCGACTTCCAACTTCATTCATGGACAACAGACATTCAGACATGCGTTAAAGCAGCAGGAGATCTTGGTTTCATTCCTAACTGATGTGACACAGTTCTATACTCAGCATAGGACAATTTTGCCAAAGTAGTAACAACAATAATAATGGTAATTGAATACCTGCATGGCACTTTTCATCTGTGAGATGATGGTGCTGCCCGCACTACCAGGCTTCTTGGCACGAGATGCATCTGACTTTGAGCGCGGCCTGAAGGCATCTAAAATTGTTGCTGGTTTTCGGGAAGGGGAAGAGGCCTGCTGCTGATGCAGTATATCATCTCCAGACTTGCGTCGCTGCCTGGAACTTGATCCTGTCGTTGTGGATGATGCATTGGCAGCACTGGATGGTGAGGGGCTCGATGAACCGTGTCCGACATTCAAATGTCGAGTATGTGAAATACTCCAAGTTCCTGCAAACATATACCAGCAATAAAAAATTCAGCTGAACAGAATGCAGTGTTCTTGCATGATGCCCTTTCAACTACATATGTTAAGTTGCACACTGAACAGTAGGATAGTTTGTGAATGATTACATGGAAAGAGTATGGAAGTAACTGAGCAAAGCATCTTACATAATAAATGTATTGCCAGCATTTTCATGGAAGAATTAAGGAACACAATGAAAACCATGTCAGAACTGCTAGTCTCATGAACCATATTCAAAACCAACACTTCGCAAATATGGTTTTCCCAGTAACAACTTCTGGTTATGATAAATATATGTAGTCAAGTGCACTTTAGACAGACCATGTACACAGAATGGGAATAAAAGAGGGAGGCCTAGAAAGTGATGTAAAAGAGAATTTTAAACCTGGTATAGGCAATAAGTTGCCTCAAAAACAAGAAGATATTGATAAACTGGGAATATATGTAAATAATAACAATAAAAATGAAATACTTTTGTATGTTACTATGAATCTGCCCACAGTGTGTGTAAATAAAACTGAAGGAACCTTGTTTACTTTCCATACAGTACGGACAATTCTTCATAAGATGAGGCACCGACTACACTATTAATTAATTTACAACATCATGGGCCTACATTCTTATATAAATGAAATATTCAAACTTCCAATTGGTCCATAGAACCGTATGAAAAGTAAAAAATCAAAGACCGATTCAATGTTGTATAACATCAATTAAGTTTTATCTTGTTTTATACATTAACTTTCAGTTTTTTATATAATCTGACTTATTGTATTGTTACACAAAGTATTTTAACATTGTATCCAATCTATTGTACAGCAGTTCAATGGTATTTGTTTGTTACTATGTGTTTGCCTGATGATGGCCGTTAGTGGCTGAAACATGTAGCGAAGCCATAGATGGGAGCTGACCCTGATTTTTTCTATATGTTGTCTTTTGACGGTCAATAAAAGCGTTGAACCTATATTTTGTCACAAAAGAAAAGCAAGTCACAACTGTTCTACTCATTGAGTTGAATTATAATTAAGTTTAACTATTAAAACAAAGCTATATTAAATGTGTTTACAGTAGCTGAAGCAATATTTTTTAAGAAATAACATCAATTAAATTTGGGAAATTCTTGCTATCATTCAGTTATGCATCTTTCATCTTCCCCATTACTATATAAAAACAATAACAACAAAAATTAAACATACAAAACTATAATTTTGTCTATTGTTTTGTATGGTTGTGAAACTTGGTCTCCCACATTACGAGAAGGACAAAGGGTGAGGATGTTTGAGAGTTTGAGAATACTGTACTTAGAATATTTGGACCTATGAGAGAGGATAAACTGCAAAGTGAGAAGCCTCAGTATTTGTTTTCTTGGCCACATATTGTTAGGATGATCAAATCAAGGATGATGGAATGGGAAGGGTATGTAGCACGAATGGGACAAATGATAAATGCATACATATTTTGGCAGACAAATCTGAAGGACAGAGCTACTCTGGAGACCTAAGCATTGATGGAACGATATTAAAACGGAACTTATGGAAATAAAATAGCAGGCTGTGGACTGGATTCATCTGGCTCAGGATCGGGGCCAACGGCGGATAGTATGGTGATGATCATTGTATTTAAAAAAAATTACAGGATGTAAAGCAGGGATTATGGGGCTGGCATATACGCCGAAATCAAATACGCCATACAATCGTACAGTACCTCCCATACAGAATTCAACCGAGATGTGCTAAACGGTTTCGAGGGTGAATAGGCGGAACTAAAATGCACAATTTTCACCTTCAACTTCAAGTTGATACAGTGGATGTTTCCCTTTGAATGAAGCAGTCGTAGTTCCGTTATGCAGCACAAGAGCGCACAGTGCGATGCGACCGTGCTACCATCTGCCGGGGCAAATTGATACTGCATATATCTCAAAGAATGCAAATACCCAACACAATATTTTTGTTATTGTTTTTCAATAAACACCGTGGATATACCCAATCATTCTCGAAATGTGCACTAAACAGTCTTCATTTTAACTGCACATTGTGCCTCCCAGGATCGATAAAAGGCAGCGATATTGTGATACTGACTGAAACATGGACCAGAGATTATAGTTAGGGAACGGATTAAAATGCAAATACATATTTCTTTCTTGCAACCAGAAAGTATGCTCGTTTGGATATATGTATGAGTTACTTCATTTCTTAAATTTTAGATATGGTTTGAAGGTTTTAAAATTTGGAGAAAAGTTTTAAAGGATTTTAAAATTATAACTAAAGATTTTATAGTGCTAGTACAGGAAAATCAAAATTGACGTGTGCAAAATAATCTACATACCAGACAGATATCAACGAGGTAGATGTTGATAATAACGAAGAAAATAACAATGTGTTTTTTAAATGTTAAATTTTAGACTGGGTTCAGTGTGGCAGCAACGTAAGAGTATACACCTGATGATGGCCGTTAGAGGCCGAAACATGTAGTGTAGAAGAGAGCAAGATCAAAGACATATAATATATATTGTTTGCACTTGGGACGGACTTTGTATCATTTATCGTGTAGAGTGCAACAGGATGCTTAAATATAATATTGTATCAGCGGGAGTTCGAAGGAGAGATGATAAGTACGGATAACGAGATTCTTTATTTCCGAGCGTGTGAGAAAACAGTTGGTTGTGAAAAACGTGTTCAACTGCTTCAGCATTTGAATACTAATATACACAAAGAGAATATTAAAATTAAATCCACGAAAAGTGCTCCTGTTCAAAAATTGCTTAGTGAATTTTCTTATAGTAGTTTTTTACGATTTTCTTTTGATTTATGCGAAGCCTTTTTAGCGGCAGATATTTCGCAGTGGAAACTAACCAGTCCTACTCTGAGAAACTTCATAGAGAAGTATACACAGCGCAAAGTGCCGGATGAATCTACTGTGCGCAAAAATTACATGAAGCAGTGTTACGATCTTACAATTGAAAGCATTAGAGATAAGATTCAAGATAATTTTGTGTGGGTATCAATCGACGAAACA